CATGGGCTCTCCTCTATCTCCTGACCTTGCGGATTTAGTCCTTCAGGATATTGAGACGAGGGCGATGAGAATGTTCAATTTTCACATTCCGTTTTTCTTCAGATATGTGGATGATATAGCGATGGCTATACCTAACGATACCGTTGATTTCACTTTACAAACATTTAATTCGTTCCATCCACGTTTACAATTTACCATTGAGATTGGCGACAATAAACTCAATTTTTTAGATACCACCATCATTAATAACAATGGTTTAATCGAATTTGATTGGTATCATAAACCTACCTTTTCCGGTAGATATTTAAATTATTATTCTTGTCACCCTTCGTCTCAAAAGCGTGGAACCATCATAGGACTCATCGACCGAGCCTTTCTACTCTCGCATCCGAGGTTTCACAGAAAAAATCTAGAACTTATTATCAGCATCCTTTTGAACAACGATTATCCTCTAGATCTTATTTTTAACACGATTCATGAACGTCTAAAAAGTCTCTTTTACAAACAAACAAAAAAACAAAATTCTGATGATGTTGATGACGCTTCCTTTAAAAAATGGTTTACGGTCCCGTTTTTTCCTTCCTTTTCTGCAAAATTTAAGGATATTTTTAGGGGATCTGATACTCATTTAGCATACTACAGTGTTAATAAATTAAATAAATTTATCAAGGTTCAAAAGGATGCTCTCCCGTTTTATCAAAATAGCAACGTAGTATATAAGATTTTTTGTCGAGACTGTGATGCTTCTTACGTAGGGCAAACCTGTAGACAACTAAAAACTAGAATATCGGAACATCGCAGTCACATAAATAGAAATAGCTCCTCTCATTCCGTGATTACTGACCACAGAATTCATAACGATCATGATTTTGATTGGGATAATGTGAAGATTTTAGATCGAGAAAGATACTATCATAAACGTCTCATTTCGGAAGTTTTACATATTAAACAACAGCGCCATGGTCTAAACCTCCAATCGGATACCGAGTGCCTACATCACGCATATCTGCCTATCATAAACAATATCTAATTTATGTTCGTCCTGTCCTGAGACACATCACTATGTTTATAACAGCGTCCGTGATCAATACTCGTTCGATCCTTCGTCTCACACCGTTTCCAACCGCTGCGCTGTGCGCTTGACTGTCAATTTCTTCCGCTAATTTCTAAGATGTGTGACGGTTGTGACTGCAAATTTATTCTCCCTCCGAGATGTACGATCTTTTGACTATTGCGACTTTTGACTTCGAATAATGTACTTTTGTGACTTCTGCAGATCTTGAGGTGAGCGTTCTCCTTTCCTTTTTCAAACGACGTTGCGTAATAGAGTTTTTTTCTCTCATAGTGGTAATGTCCACCATAATCGTGCGTACCAGCTCGTTTGTTTCCGACATCTCCTCAAGAAGGGAGTCTTCTTCCTCGAGCTCTGCAGGACTAGCGATTACTTTCAATAAATGTTGAAGATGGCTCAAAGGAAGAGCCGAAACGTTCAAATTAACAAGTCTAAATAATTCTTCTTTGCGCACCTCGTCCCGCGCTCGACTCGCATTCGCCGTTTTTAACTGTTTGACATTTTCACGAGTCCATTTTTATGATTTAATATTTTACAATTTGAAAACAATGATGAAATTATTGAAAATAACGAAAATGGTGCATTTGCGACGCACATTAAAGACTCTCTTTGCAATTATTTTATGACCCCAAATGGAATGGTCAATTAGCAGCATGATCATGTAACAAGAGGACAAAATCAAGACTTTATCTACATGTAAACATTTGATCGATTGATTACACACGTATCATATTGTGAAATGTAATGCTAATATGTATTTATTATGTGAATATAAAATAAATAGTACAAAATTTCTTTAATATTATTATTATTATATACCAGTACACATATATGTTATTACTAAAATTAATATCGCACAATCTTAAGACATGAGTATTATATGTATCTACGAATAAATGCAAATTATTTATTTTATCACAAAAATCATCTCGCTCACAGGTTTTCCTTTCTTCACAAAATTTTCATGATTTCTTGTTTCTTGACTTGTTTTATATCATCATCCAATTGTTCTAATTCCGCCATAACCAGATTGCAAAATAAAGTGTCTGGATCATTCTGCATTTGTGCACCATCTTTTTTAGAATTCAAATGCTCTACAACTGCTTGATTCAAATTAATAAAAGACGCTTCGAACTTATCGTTTTCGAAAGATCACCAGGCAATAAAACTTGACACGTTATTGAAGTTGACAAAACGAACGACGAAAATGCGTTAATTTAAGTCGCTAGGTTAAAATTGTATTTATACGAATAAAAATTTATATATATATATATATATATATTATTATTGATACAATATGTTCGCGCAAATATGAAATTTTGTATTAATTATTAAAAATTTGATTGTCATTAATTGATAGATTAAAACTTAATTATGTAATTTGACGGTTGCGCTGATACCTAAGAATTTAAATTCGTGGAAATTATTACTAGTAAAAATCACGAATATGCATATACAAAGTAACTGACAGGTGAAAGAGTAATTCGACTGACAATAACAATGTTTATTTATATTAATTAATAATAAAACATATTATCAAAACTTATTATTGTCGATAAAAATTAAAAACTGGACAGATAACGAAGTTCGACAGATGCACTGTCTTCGGATACTTCGGCACTGATATCAATTTTGCTCAGTTCACCTAATTTGTTCACAATAGCGGCCGGCTGGGGTACGTTGGACACGGATATCGCAGGCTGGAACTCCTCCTTGATAACGAGAAATCAAGAGAATGTTTTAATAATAAATTTTTACACCTAAACTGTATATAAAACTTACCGAAAATTATGAGAAAATCCGTTTATTTTGCAATAAATTACAATTTCTGGTGATCGCCTCGGACTCGACGACGTCTCGCTATCCGTCTTCGGATCTTGCACCGATTTAGCTTTCGACGCGTCTTGATTCGAGTTTGCTTGCGTCTTGGTCGCGGAGCTCTGAGCCTTCAGAGTAGAAAGCAATTTGGATACTTCGGCACTGATATCAATTTTGCTCAGGTCACCTAATTTGTCCAACATAGCGGCCGGCTGGGGTACGTTGGACACGGATGTCGCAGGCTGGAACTCCTCCTTGATAACGAGGTTTTGCGTCTTCTCGATAGGCTCGATTTCGTCTTTCGAACTATCCACTATAGTAAGATTACCTCCCTCGTCATCATCATCATCGTCCTCGTCATCCAAATACCAATCTTTGATAATCTGATCGGTATTTTAGGTGCATCGGACTCGTTGTCTATGTTTTTCAAACTGTCCTGAGCCGCGCGTTGCTGCTGCTGTATTCGGCACACAAAATAAAATTAACCTCAAAACACTATGTTTACGAAACTGAGACAATTCACACTAATATAATTATATACGGTCATTGACAGATCGTATTTTCATTACGTTGATAATTAAATAAATTAACTACTTACGTGTTAATCAATATAAATCCGTTCTTTGTTCTTAATCACTTTTCTTTAGGACCGGCTACAATGAGAATTTACGTGCCTATGTCCGTTGCCCGTGGCTATGCATTATGTATTTTTATGTAGATTGAAAATCCAGGAGCCATGGGCAGAATACAGAAACCATAGCGCATGCGCTATGATATCTGCCATTCTGCCATAGGCAGATAAAGTAATACCACAGCGCATGCGCTATGGCTTCTGCATTCTGCCTATGGCTCCTGTAATTTTATGTGCTTCCACCTAGTGCGCTCCCCGAACGCAGGTCAAATATACTATTCGATACGCGTATCAAGAGATCGGTGTAAACTAGGCCTTTGTATTGTGTTCCGGCCTTTACGCTCACGAGAGCAATCTATACGTTATATAATTTATGGTATATACTTCGTTTACATTAGTGACATGCGCAATGTCTGCAAATCTGGCGGCAATTAGTGTGTGGTGTGTTATGTGTATACGCCATACGGAAGATATTTGATCTTGTGTTGGATTTAATTGTTATAAACTGCGACAGAGATTAATTTTTGTAAATATGGGTATCACCGGGTTGCTACCATTCCTAGAGAAATCTTCTAGAAGGACAAATATCAAAGAATTTTCTGGTGGTACTGTTGCAATCGATTCTTATTGTTGGTTACACAAAGGTGTATTTTCCTGTGCTGAGAAATTAATGATGGGACAAACAACGAACGCGTAAGTAATGATTATACTTATTTACGGATGTTAACATTCTCTTTTATGATTCTGAGTAATTAATAACTTTTCTTTTACATCGTAGGTATGTTTTATATTGTATGAAGTATATAAACATGCTTTTAAAATATAAGATAAAACCCATCTTGGTGTTTGATGGCCGACGATTGCCTGCTAAAGAGCAAACAGAAATCAAGAGACGGGAGTACGTATAAAGAGACCTGTTTAAATATCGTGAATTTGAAAAATCAAGTCGGGATTATTCTATTTGAAAACTGCTTCAAATTCAATAAAAATTGATACAGGATTGCTACAAATTCTGAAATAAATCTATAGGCCTGTTCATTTCCCCTGCACTTCTGAACTAGTGCAATAAGTTA